TACGTAGTCGTAGTACGGTCGGTACGTACGACGACGAGAGGTAGGGAGGGACGTACGTAGTAAACGTTGACATTTATAATATATATATATATATATATATATCAAGGACACAGCCGTCAAATGTAGAGAAGAGACAAAAGGAATCAGTAATGGATGTGATCATATGATTAACATTGATAAAGCCAAGGAATTCGGCAATGGCATGTTCATTATTAGAAACAATGATCAGAAATTATTCACATGGTCAATGAATCAGACAATCAGAGTATCACATATATTTTTGTGAAGAGATCAGTTAATCCAATCGGTTTTTGTACCAAGCAATATCCATAGGTACCATGCTACAGCAGCACAATCATGTGTATCAGGTTTCTGCCACTGAGGAATGTCAGATATGCATTTCCAAAACGGCCATGTTGAACACATGTCCAACCAATACGAGCAGCAATATTTAGCAAATGTTATCAACTAAGGATAACATCTAAGTCTCCATATTGATATGGACATGTTTAATATGTCATGCACTCCAAACAACAAATATGTCCTTGCATCATAGCATGGATGCCACCAAGCCTGCAAAAATCTCCTACCAAAGGGAGAGCTAGATTCACTGCATGTCGATAAACATTTTCAGGTTCATGAACATAGTCTTTAAACATTTCAATTGTCATTTATATGAGACTATGACAAAGTGATAGTTTATAGGAACATTTACAAGCTTGATGGGAAGGCTCAGAACACTTCCAAACAGACATGGCTCAGCCATGTAGCTAAAAGAAAAGTTTACAGTTGGAAACCATTAGTTGATTTTTAAGTTTTCTACAAATTTTCTCTAAAATAGTTTAGCCATTGACTCAAATAATTGCTGTTTCTTTTTCTTTTTTTTCTTTTTTTTGTCTTTTTTTTCTTTTTTTCTTTTTTTTTTTGAGAAAGCTCAAATAGTTGCTGTTTCAAGTCAGTGTTTCAGAGATTTGCATCAGGCCAGAGCCAGCTTGAGTCCTAAGCTCTCTGCAAATTTATGCACTCAAGTTGTGATGCTAAACATGGTTGTTTCTTAATCATTCATCAAAATAATAATAACAAGACTAATAATCCATTGCCAATATATTTACATAAAAAATACAAGTTCATATGTGAAAGATGACTAAAGGGTCCGTTTTGTCAGGTCAATTCTTAGCAGAATTCATATTTATGCAGCACTAGAATTTGATTTATTGAGGGCACATATAAAATTGTTAGCAGTCTAACTAGCATGTCAAGTAAAGAAATAGTCAGCAGGACATTCATTAAACAGAGAATGAAAAATGGTAGGCTTTCAGTGGAAAGAACAACAATGACACAGTCTAGAATGCATGGTTACAGCCTGAGGGATGGCTAAACCATCGACTTTTGAGATTGTACGCATGTTATAAAGTATCCTATATGGACATGGCACCCGTTTTGAAGCAACCATGCTTCATAGGAAACAATTCTAAAATCACAGCTCTTTGTTTCCAGCTATAAGATCACTAAAGAAGTGATCCCAAAATAATGTCACATGGACAGCATGTACACAAAACAGATTATAGCAATATCCTGGAATTGGACGCATAATTCCTGCTACTAAAGTAGTTTCCGAATACCATACCAACGAAACATAGAGAAACTCAATGAAGCACACCAAATCAGGGTTGCTTGGTCCCGTTTGACAAGATGCAAACAAATTCACACCACATTAATGCTTGGCAAGTAAAGCACACAGTCCAATCAGGAAAGACCAATTCAACTCAAACTCACAAGTCAGTCAACCATGAACTTTATGTAAATTTCAAGTGACGAAGAATGGGTAGAAAGAAGTTTACCATTCTTTCGGGTAGTCTATTCGAGCAATTTTTGATATGTGAACAGCTATCTGAACTGCAATCTGAATCGAGCATTGTAAATGAAAACGAGGATTAGCAATAAGACTGCTAGAGCTATATCACAAGGAGCTGCAGCTCAGTGTGATATTCCCACTGAGACAATAAGAATTACAATGAGGCTCACATGATGACAACTCAGACAATTAGTCACTATGAATTAATCTGATAATCATAAATTTGCAACACTTCTAGTACAATGATCACTATTATGGAGCATATAGGTTCTGTGAATGTCAAACTTATGAAAGCAAGCATGGAATGTATTAGAACGACAGTCTCAAGTCACACCTGATAATTTTCCTCCCTTAAGTGTTCTAGCAATTTCCTCCGCAAATATACTTTCTCATCATTGCTGATGCCTCTGCATGACAAATTATTAATGACATTCAGCTCAACAAAAAGTCTTTGGTTGTGATTGATTGAAATAAAAGTAGCTAAAACAACATAAACAAAATTCTCATTAGAAAAATATGCCTCTACATCTATCTTGAAAGTATCCAGTATATGTATCAGTATCGTATTGTATCAATACTGGTTTTCTAATTCAACATGGGCATCCAGGCATTTCAGCATCATCATTATCATCATCAGAGCTTTTTTCCTACTAATTGGGATCGATTACCTGAATCCTGGTCTGCCAGTTTGCACTATGAAAGGCCATACGCTCAATGAGGCTATAAGTCCCCATATATTTTCTCACTACTTCCAACCATGTCCTTTTGGGCCTACCCCTTGCCCTTTTTGAGCCTTCCACTTGAACTAACTCACACCTTCTAACAAGCATTGTAATGGGTCTGGGCAACACATGGCCAGCCCACAAGCATCCACGTATTTAAGGTACATTTTTTTTTCATGATTATCAATTCTAAGTACATTTAAAAAAGTGACAATATAACTTTCCCCGTTTGACATGGTAATCTAAGATTCCAATATATTTTCTTTTGCTAAGCTCGCCAAAAAACTGATAAAAGATCTAAAGCTCTATACTGCAGGGCGGCGACACGTATATCTTGATTGGAATTGGCTCATACATATAGCAATCACAAAGAATTGGCTCATACGTAGAGTAACTACAATAAACAGGAGAAAAGAACTTACGAGGAGTCACTCCGGTGCCTCCAATAACGATTTATGCTGTTCTTAAAATACACAGTGGCCAAAAGACGAGTATATGTCTGAGATGCCAGATCCTTTGAACCAATAATTTCCTGCAGTTACAGAATTCAGAAGTTATCAGCACAACCAATACATCGTCCTATGTTGTCCCAGCATAAAATTTTTCGAAGTTGAGAGCACAGCTAAGAATCAACCTTAGAATTCATAATGCTGGTCTTCAAGAATCCTAGAAAGGAAGTAACATGCAGACAGAATCTAAGATCATCACAAGTCTCTAGTAAAATGAAAATTACAATCACTTATCTGGTTATCCCAAAGTTAATCAAATGGAAATCTCTACTCAAATCATCATAGGAGGAGGAGACATTAGCCAATGAATGCACAAGACAACAAAGCTAAAGAAGTGATTAATTATTTAAATACTTCCAAGTTCCCATAATTAAAAAAAGTAAAACAAATGGCGGAGTTCATTCCATGTCGATAATTAAGTCATATAAAAAACGATAACAACAGAAGCTTTAGAGAAAGATAAAATGAAGAAAGCTGGAAGAGCGTGTACAGAAAATGATAAGGAGAGCAGCTTTGAGAATGCTAAAACAGAAGAGGTTAAAAAAAAGCATCCATTTACTTCATCTATGGTAAGTTCTTTTTTTTTTTTTTTAACATGGTTACATGCAAATGGAACTTGAGATGTTGAGCTATGAAAACCGAGCCTCAACTATCTAGACCCAAGTCCTTTTCATGTCATCTATGGTAAGTTTTCAAAGCAAGGAACATTATTTTAACCTAATGTTATCACAGAAAAACTTGACAATCAATGGGAGACAATATATAGCTCTATAGGCATATCTATCAAAACATGTCAATAATCTAAAAGTAAACAAAATGGTCAGGCCACTCGACTAAAATGAAATAAATAATATATAGTACAAAGTATTTCAACAGTAGTAGTAGTAGCAGCAACAGCAGCAGCAGCAGCAGCAACAACAATAACAAATTAACAATAATAAAGTCAAGAATATAACGTGAGCGCACCAAGGTGGACACTGAGCACTTCCTAAAAGGCAATTCAACACTTTAAATAATGAAAGGAGAGCAGAAACTATAGATTTGCACATGGTGGAACAGGATTTAGCAACTTGAGTCAAGTGGCTAAAGAAACAGAATAAAACAACTAGATTCTCCCATAAGATAGCCAGTACAAAGAGGAGGGCAACACAATTTGGTATACTCAAGGTAGATGGATAACCTATGTAGAGAAAGTAAACACAAAGGAAATTTGCGAAATAGGTTTAGGAACTATATTAGGCTGGGGAGGCAAATACATCAGCTAGAACTGTTGCATTTCAGTGGTTACCTTGGGAAAGTAGGCTATAACTGGTATGAATACGAATTCAAGGAGGAAAATCCATTCGTGTTCAACCTAAGGAGAGACAAAAGCTTCAGGCACAAACAAATGCTCAATCACCTATGTTGATAAATCACCAACAAACATTTGAAGACTCTCCTCATGCAAGACCTCAAATATAAACATGGGAACATGGATAGGAATACAGTCAGATCAGTATATTAAACATGATTCACAAAAGGTAATAACTGATTAGCTAATCATGTGAGACGTAAAATATTCATAGAGGCGACCTGTATTACATGGATTCTTCTGTTTCAGTGCCATACTCGTGGGAGACACATATCAACATAAGTACCCACACAGATTCTTCTGGGTTCTTCTTCTTGTTTATTAACCATTCATTTCTTCATTTTAAAGACTTGATTTTCTTTTCTGTTTTTAGCATATGTGTGAAAACATTCAAAATGTCTATGGAACATTGAAAATATATTGTTCCAGCCAATTAAGGACAATTAATTATTACTTGCTACTCATGCTAAAATGGAAGTAAAACACTGTTGGATTTGGTTGTTAACAATATAGGTGTGTCACCTAATTCGTTCTTCATATAATGAGGAATCTGAGACCCCATACCTCTGTCAGACACTAATCAGAGACAAAAGTCCATGTAATACAGCAGGCAACCAAGTTTATTCTGATATGTATAATGCTTGCCACAGTCACTGCATGAAAACCAAGCATAACTGCACAAATGTAACTATTAAGGATAGTGGTTTAATTTCAACAAAGGCGGCAGTTGAGGACAATGTTGCTTCAAAGTTTACGATGACAGCTAAAATGGTCCCTTCATATTATAAGGGGCATAAGTAAACCATTCGGGCAAGAACAAGCAGAACAATTACTGATGAAAGGCAGGAAAGCTCAAATCAAAATTTGCGCCAAAAAGGTCATTCACTCGAATGAACCAGTACATTTACCACTAAGCTATTTAGAAGGCCTAAAAAATTCTTGCGTTTACTCAATGATTCTGGAGAAGACAAGAATAATGCCTGAATCATTGAACAAGTAATATCGCAAAACCAATTTCAATCAAGTTCAACACACAGATGCAATCAATCTTTCTACAGATAAACCAAAATGCACACTTATCCATGACTAAGAAAAAAAGTTGACGATGATCTGAGACATTTTGGATGCATAATACCATTAAAAATAAGTGAATAATGGATGCATAATACCATCAAACATAAGATCAAAAATACATAAAAAATAGATGCATATTTAGATGCATTAGAAAGTAAAATTCCAACAAACGCTAAGGAAAGAGAAAGAGATCGAAAATGCTTACTGGGAGAAATAAATTCCAATTTCCGGCATTAAACAAAGCAATCGAGATGAATTAAGAGAGTCAGCAAACCAAGGGAAGGGGGGGAGAGAGAGAGGAAAACACGAAAAATAAAAGGAACGGAGAGAGAAAACTTACAAGGAGACATGAACAAAAGCCAGGTTTGCCTTCGCACTGAGAGAGAGCGACCTCAGCAGGCATGCGAATGTTCTGGTCGGCACTGAGCGCATTTATGAGGAGCGTGTAAAGGGTTGAGAGGTCTGAAGCCGAGAGCGCCATCGCTATTAAGAGTTTCTCCCTCTCTCTGGTTTTTTAAGAGAGAGACTAACGAAAGAGAGAATGAAATATGGATATCGAAGAGATTGAGGAAAACCAGAGAGTACGTTGCGTGTCTTTTATGTAAGAAGCGCGGGCGGTCTCAGACAGCAGGCTCTTTTGGGTTCCATACCTCTCAGGACCACCTGCGAATTGTGAATAAAATAAAGGTATATAATTTTATCATGGTATATAATTTTGATGTAAAATGTTCTTTAAGGGTATATAATTTTATCATGGTATATAATTTTGATGTTAAATGTTTTTAGGATTATCTCAAAATCTATTTTTATATTAAATAATAAATTTTAAATTTTAAAAATGGTTAAAATCAAGTAGATCTATAAACATGTGAAAATCTTGAAAATGGACGATGCATATAATATATTGTAAAATGTATTATTTCTGAGTCTTAAAATCTTTTTATTTTTCATAGTCATATATCTCGATGTCGAGATGATCAATCCAAAGGTTTTTCAACATTAAAACTACCTTTTCCAATGGATCTTTGAGGGGCATCCGTAGTTCTACATTAAAAGGTAGAATTACTATATAAACTTTTTCCATAAAATAAAAGGTATGGTTTGCATAAGGTTGCAACTTCAAACGATCCAAATAAGGTGCACCTCTAAGTTTTATTATAAATATAATTTTGAGATCAAAAATTTTTAGTATGGCTTGAGAATCTACTTTCATATCTAATTATAAAATTGTAAACTCTAAACATGGTTCAAATCAAAGTAGATCTATGAAGACGCGAAAATATTGAAAATTGACCGTCCAAATAATGTGTTGCAAGATGCATTATTTTGTGGACTCGAAATCTTTTTTCTTCTCATATTCAAAAATCTCAATGTCAAGACGATCAATTAGAGGGTTTTTCAACGTCCAAACAACCTTTTATGATGGATTTTTGAGGCACATTTAAGGTTGCAACCTTATATAAAAAATTTCCTAATATAAAAAGTTCATACAAGGATACAGCCGCCCGCCCCGCCCCCCCCCCCCCCCCCCAACCCCCCCCCATATAAAGTGTGCTACAACGTGGTGATTTTCAATCTGGATCAATAATTTGGTCTGGATCGAACTTATTATGGGATGGTATAGGTCTTGACTCAGTTCCCCTCACCCCCCAAAAAAAAAACTATATTTACATATTTTTCTTTTATTTCTAGACTTATCTCATGTTTTTTAAGGTCCTCCCTAAATCCCTGCCCCATAAATCCTAAATTTAAATTTTATTTTATTTTGCTTAATATTTTCTAAATCGCCAATTCGGATCAATCCAAACCTGATCTGAATCAACGATCCAATAATCAAACACATATCTATGGTGAACAATCTGCCCCATCGATCCGAGTTTTAAAACACTAATCCTTGTCAATTTTATTTGAACAGTATAGATTTAACACTTGTCTCAAAAAAGTATTATTTTCTTAATAAACAAAGTTTATATAGAGTTGAGGCTCTAAACAATCAAATTAGAGCCTACCTCAAAAATTTCACAACAAGAGGTTGTTTTGATACCTAAATATTCTCAAATTAATCATCTCGACATCAAGATGGATGGACATGAGAAAAAAATAGATTTCAAGTTTTGAGAATAGTACATCTTGTAATGCAATTTTGGACCATCAATTTTCAAGATTTTCAAGTTTTCATAGATCGGCTCAATATACACTATTTTTTGAAGCATTAAATTTTATAATTAAAAGATGAAAAATATTTTATCACAAAGATTTTCAGTATTGAAACCACATTCTCAACACTATTTGAAGGTGTGCTTTACTTTGATTGTTTATAGCCTCGGCTCGATATAAACCACACCCTTTCTTAATATTTTCTTAAGGAAAAGTATTTGGTGAGTCGGCCGACTCACACTATTCTTGTGTGGTCTCCCTATAAATTATATTTCAAAAATGTATTTTCGATCCAAAATTTTAGATTTCAATAATCTCAACCATGACAATAATCTAAATTTGAAAATTTTATTTTTGAAAAATATAAATGCTATTTTTTGAATTCCTTTATTCACCCTTCATTTAAACTTTTAGTGGATGTAACATTTGTTGAAGGTTAGAGATGAAGGTTAGATAGATAAGGGACTGCAAGGTCATAGGTAAGTCGGTTGACTCACCAAACCAAGTCTTTATCTTAAAAGACGTACTAAAGTTATACCGTTTAACTAAAAGGTGCAATTGGCATACAGATGCATTCGTAGATGTAGATGTAAGGTGCACCTTTAAATTTTATCATGGTATATAATTTTGATGTAAAATGTTCTTAGGATTATCTCAAACATATGAAAATCTTGAAAATGGACAGTGTAGATAATATGCAGTAAAATGCACTATTAATGATATTTAAAATCCGTTTATTTTTCATGGTCATACATCTCGATGTCGAGATGATCAATCAAAGGGTTTTTCAACTTTAAAACTACCTTTTTCAATAGATTTTTGAGGTGCATCCATAGCTCTACACTATAAGGTTGCAACCTTTTATAAACTTTTTCCTTAACTAAAATAGGCGGTGTACCCTTATACAAACTGCTCCCATATAAAAATGACTGCTATATAAAATCAATGGAGAATGATTTATGATACATTGTGGACCACATTCCAATATTTTATAATGAGATATATAGAGCCTAGGCTCTAAACAATCAAATTAGAGCCTACATCAAAAAATTCACTAGAAAAAGTTCTTTTGATATCCAAATATCATCAAATTGATCATCTCGACATCAAGATGGATGGACATGAGAAAAAAATGGATTTAAAATTTTAGAAATAATGCATCTTGTAACTTATTTTTTAATCGTTAATTTTCAAGATTTCATAGATTTGCTTGATCTATACCATTTCTTAGTCTTTAAATTTTATAATTAAAAGTGAAAATATATTTTAAGGCTATTACAAAGATTTCCAGTATTGAAACCACATTTTCCAACACTATTTGATTGTTTAGAGCCTCAACTCTATATAATCCGCACACTTTTATAACACACAGCAGTATAGGGCACTTGGATTGACTCATGCCCTCATCTTTGTGCTTGGTTAGGAATGGGCTCAAGACCAGGTGGTCAGACTGTCGAACCTCGATAATGTGATTTCTTGAGTTTCATTCGTGCTGTTTATAGCCTGATAAGGAACCTTCCCGATTGAACTACAAAAAAAAAAATTCCCATTCCTTGCCGAAATTGGATGGTCGATGCTGTTGTAGTGCATAAGAAATCATGCACATGTAACTCGTAAGGGGAAGGAGTACACTACCATACACTGCCTAATGCTTCGAGGGTTCAAACATTTGATTGCCATCGCTGAACTAGGAGCATGCCAAAAGGATGACCTTGTTGGTTCATGTACTACCGATTGGGAAAAATAGCAACTGGTGGAGTGTTGGCTGAAACTTAATTTTGATGAAAGTGCTTTAGGTAAACCATAGGGCAGTACCCATTGGCGACATTTTAAGGGATGAGAGGCGTCACACACTCCTCACATAATTCGGACCATGCCAAGATTGTCCTGCTTTTTGAGACCGAAATTAAATCTCTATAGCAGGGTATGAAATGCCTATTGAGCTTGCATCGAGAAGTGATTATGGAGGGTGATTCCATCAAGAAATGGTTGTGGAGGGTGACTCCTCTAATGTAATTATGTGCTGCAAGGGAGCGGCAAGTCCTCTGTGAAGATTTATTCGGTGAAATTAGGGAGTTGAAGGTGGGAGGGCAAGTAGGCGACCTCAAATAGTTGGAAAATGCTACAATGATGATAATGATGAGGATGATGGCAGGAAGGCAAGTGATAAATAACCATGGTATAAGGGGAAGAACCAAGAAGCATGTCAATTAGATAAGGAAGGTGCCCAAAGGGTCGAATTACTATTGGGATCAAAGCTCGAGTCTTAATTGTTCTCTTTCAAGTAAATAGAAGCTTAATTTGGGATTTTGATTGCACAGGTTTTTCTGATTTAAAAGGTTTTGAATAAGAGAAATAGGTGAAGAATCATCTTTTCGACTCAGACTCTCCCACTCTAGTCGTTGCTTTTCTTTCTGTTACTTCGAAAGTAGCTGCTTCAGTTTTAGCCATTCGAATTTTCGATATTCCTATTTCTCATCAAATGAATGACATCTTGCTGTGCAATTATTCAATTCAGTAATGAAACTTCTGTTTACAGCTCCCAAAAAAAAAATCAAATATGTACTGACCACAAGGGAGCTGAAGGCAGTTGGACTATCTACGGATCACTATCATAAGCAAATGGTTTCGTAATGAAAATTATCAATAAAAATGCAATCAAAGATTATGACTTCAAATTTCATACTTCAAATGTTATAATATTTCTGCAGTTATTCTTGCACATATAAAATTCAGAAATGAGCTTTTGAAGACTTGTCTTAAGGTTTGGTGTACCAGTAAACATTGCATCTTGCACTTCTAGAGAAGAGAATAGGAAGCCAATCGGTTTGGCCAAGCGGCATAAAACCTTGTAAAGTGGCAATTAAAACCAAAACTTGAGATGCCACTTTTACACTCATCCTATTGACAATTTTTATAATCGATCAAAACCATAAAAATATTATCAACTATGGTTTAGTTATTTTATGCTAAATGAGAAGTCAAAATGATACATTCTCAACAATAATCCTATTGAGATCATGAGCATAAAGCTTGCATTAAAACCAAAATTAGATGTATATGAAAATTTCTTTGGTAGTTAAAAAAAAAAGAAAAAAAGGGGTAGGTCAGGTCCTTTTATGGGAGAAAACTTCAAAGATTTTAACCCTCAACTCCCTCACCCGAACTGATATGTCTACCACCAAGCTATGACTGAAGGGACTCATTTGAGAACAAACTTCAAGGATTTAAACCCTTAATATGCCTCGCCGAAACTGGTATTGCTACCACTAAGTTGACTTAATGACGAAGCAAAGGATAGGTGAAATGGTCTTTTTTTACCCATTTATGATTGTAGAATATCACAAAAATGGAATGAAGAAATAGAGGAAAATAATAAATTTCTAACCCACAATGAAATTGACATTTTGAAGTCCAACTCATCATACCTCATTGTTCGGGTAGCATTTACTGAACATTA